TTTTGTTAAAAAAGGAGGCCCTAACCCTAACCCTGTTAACCACTCCATAAGTCATTGATAATTGATTGTTATCAAAATGGAAATTTACTCATATTTTAACTTTTTTTTATTTAATGTTCACTATTTCAACTATTTGACAAGTAATGATATAAAAAACTTACCTAATTAAAATAAATTATTTGATATAATTATAAATAAATAATCAAGCACTAGATAATTCAAAATGGGTGGAGTTCATTTATTAAAAGTACATTGATTGTTTGTAAACATGGACGATACCACAGGAGTACCTATCTCACGTTTTACCAAAAAAATTATTATCCAACAGCCAAAATGTTCATAATAGCAAGCCAGTGTTGGAAGAGCCATCAAGCAAGAAGCAAACCTATTTTAATTTAGTTTTAGTTCTTTGCCTATCATTATTTGTTAATATGTCAACATGTCTGTTGTGAATTAAAAATATAAAAAAACATGTAAAGGTAAGGTAAACCATCAAATAAAAATTAAAGTAAACTTACATCAGATTAATTGAAAAAACGATCCAAACTCGATGGAAGTACAAATTTATAATCTAATATCGTTCAAAAATAAAGCAACAAAGACAAAATAGCAAACTGCAGCAAAATTATAAAATTCTATGTAATCATATATTCAATCAATCAATAAGTTTATAGAGCGCCATTTCCGCGATGTTCAACAGTGCTCCTCAATGAATTTTGCAAATAGATGAGTCTTGAGATTCGCTCTGAATTTCGTTAAGTGATGAAAAAGTAGTTAGAGAAGAAGGTAGAGAGTTCCAGAGAAAAGGACCAAAAAAGTAAATGCAGATTTAGCAAAAGTTTAACACGAATTAAGAAGTATCGAAAATAAAAAGACGATCGTAAACCGTGGCGTTTAGGTTCAATTAATATATCTGATAAGTACTTAGGAAAGCAGCAAAGTTAAAACTTTACTTAAAAGGATAGAGTGTAGAATCAGGAAGACCATAGTAGAGAGAGTTGCAATAATCAATTCTAGATAAAATTAAAAAAATAACGAGAAGGAGAAAAGTAGGACCGTCAAGAAAAGACAAAAGTTTTTTTATTCTACGTAGATAAAAGTAGGAACTTATAACAACACTTATAAAGATTTAAAGACTCCCTCTTGCTGGATTATACATAAAAATTAAAGCAAGCGTTATGTTTTTTTGTTAAACATCGTTTTGGCATTGTTCAGCAGTACTCGTCAATGAAATAGATAAACAGATGGTTCTTGACTTGAAATCTGCTTTGAACTGCGTGATGGAGGAGTAGTCAGAAGAGGAGGAGGAGAGTTCTAGAAAAAAGGGTCAGTGATTTTGATTTAGCATAACAGTGTTCAACAGGAATTGAAATAAAGTGAAGGTTTGATGACGATCTTAGACCAGTATCATGAATAACATTTTCAATGGAATTATTCTATATACCCTATACGACCAAGACGCTTACATAGTTAATATATCCAATAAATACTTCAGAAATAATTTAAAGCACAATTTATCCATTAACGTTTAAAATTACCCCATAATTTATAGTTAGCAACTAAACGAGCAGCAGAGAGCGGAGTTAAGAGCTGTACGTAGTTGAAGAAAATAGAGTAGAATTAAAAAGGCCCTCATTGTAGGATTTTATTGTCGTATATGTAGAAACTGGATATCTATATATATTGGAACTTTGATGGCGGTTTCTCAACAAACTGATTTATTTTTTTGTTGTAGCTAATTTTAACATTTTAATTACATTACGCATTTTGAGTTACACGCTCATTATCATTTTTGAATTTTTGTGTGGTTTTACCCATTGCAGGCAACATTTCTTGTTTCAGCTTTCGGAAATAATAAAATTGAAAGTAATCAATACTAGATAATCTAATGAAATAAAAGTAGTAAATGCTAGAAACCAAAATAAAACACAAACTGCGGTAGTCGTGAAAATATCAAAAGTTTTTGAGTTAACATAAATAATAAGAAGTTACAAATAGGAGAATAAAATAATGAGGTTTGCAGATTTGTTAAAAACGTTAATTTTAATTTAAGTATAAGATACATTGAATTGCTGAAATAGATAAAGAAGAAACACATTGTGGAAAACTGCATACAAGCAGGTTTAAAAGAGAGGACGACAAATTTTTAACTTTACGAGAAAACTCAGGATTATAGATGGAGTACAAATAGAAAAATGTCAAGGGTAGATCTTTGAGGTACTCCAAAAGTAGGAGCACACGAAATGTTTTATGCTAATGCTAATGCTAATGGGTTTTTGCTTTCAATGAGGTTTGTCATGGGAAGACTACGAAAAACAATTCCAATTTAAACTTCCAAGATTTGAAGTGACGTTTCTTAAAACAAGAGATTATTTTCAAATTTATTGATTTTTAATATTCATGATTGAATATTAATTTATTGATTTAAAATAAATGATAAAAAAAAGATTCATTCATAGGACAACATAATGTCATATAACGTCAGAATATTACACTAAAAAATCGGGAAATAACCGTACAATGTAAAAACGAAGTATGAATATGAAGAGGTTTTCACGTGACATGCATAATGAACTGACAATAACGTTAAACACGCCACTATTCCTTTTTTCCCACCCACTTCTTTCCTTCATTTATTCCTTCATTATTTCATTCATCCATTCTCTACTGCTCTTATCCAATTAGTAACCATTTGTGAAATCCTATGACGCCTAATCAATGTTGTAGATATGCAAATGAATGGCACTCCTGTACGTCGTTCTTGTTCATTGTTCACCATAGTTACAGTTACACACACTACACATACACACACACACACACACACACACACATATATATATATATATATATATATTTATTTATTTATTTATTTATTTATTTATTCATATTTATAATTATTTAATTTTACATTTTATGGTTATATCTGATTTTATAAAAGATGATAAGTTTAGGATTATAACCTCTGATGTGAATAAATAGCAGTCATGTAGTGTAAGTATTTTATATTCGTTGTTTATTAATGCGAATGTATTTTTAGATATAAATGCATGTATAGTTTAGCATCGATTCTTGATAACATACATCAGAATATATTTATAAATGCAATATATGCCTATTCATACGACCAAAAATACACACATACACTTACACATACATAGACACACTTTCATTTATTTGCAAACACACACAGGCAGTCACTCATACACTAGCACACATTCACATACTATAGTATACCTCAATTGGAATAGAGAGACAGATGAATCATGGATAGATATCAAGAGGTCACATTGTACACGAGTCAAATAAACAAAAGGTGCCAAACTAAACAATTCCAATAATCGTATTCCTCGATCTGAATGCATATAATGCTAATGTAAACATGACTCTTGCGTCGTTCGTGATTTTTTTTTCTGATTTCATTCTTGTGACAAAAATGTTCTTCTGTATTCCGTCTTTAGTTTTGTTTGTTCAGTTCTGGCTTCTGTTAGTTTATCATGAAATATGATTGGATACACTTTCATTTTTTAAAGAATAATCGCCCAATGATACTAAATGCATTTGTATAATAAAATAAGTTAGTAAACTGAAGATATTTTTTTATTAAAGATTATCAATATATTTTGAATCAGTTTGTAAGAAAATTTAACAAAAAGCTGGAAAGTGCATTATGTTGTTATGTTGTTGTTTTACGTCAAAATTTCATCATTTTAATTTAATCTTATCCATCCAAATCAACCACCAGCTTACTTGTTCTTCTTTGCTTTTTATGAATCTATGTTAGTTCGATGTTGATTGGTGAGCTCAACTTTGATTTGCTTTCACTAATCCTTTCAATAAGAGATTAACTATTGAATGTTATGCAAGCAAATGCACGTTGATATTGCTGATTACGTCATCAGTTGGAAATTAAAACCATCCATTTTTGTCATGTCTGCATGCTAGGTATTATGGTGCTACAGCAACGCTGTTATTTCAGTGGTCAAAACATTTCTTTAAATAATATCAACATTAACGAAAAACATTAAACATCTTTAAATTTATTTTTGTCATTATGTTTTACCTGCTCTTTAGCATACCCATTATTTTGCTGGAGGCTGGCCAGACAGACAGACAGTCATCAAGACGATTATTAATAATTCTTCCCAACCACCCTCGCACTTTGATGTGGTGGTGGCACTGAATGAATGCCTATAACCTATCTACGGATATGATTCAAACGCAACCATATAAACACAGTAACACATTAACACACAGACCAGCACACACACACACACACACACACACACACACACATATATATATATATATATATATTTATATTTATATATATATATATATTTATATACACAGCGTCTAACATCAACGTACATTTATTACCACGCACGTATCAAACGCACGCAGACGCATCTATTGAATGATAATTTCCCCAGTGGTTCAATTGAAAACAAAGAAAACATTGTTCTCAAACCCTTGCGTAATCGATATTTTCATTCCATGTTTCTGTTTGGAGTCTTATGTAACAACATCAACAACAGCAGAAGCATAATATTAGATCCAACATCCAACAACAACAACAACAACAACAACAACAACAACAACAACAACATTACTATCAACAGGATCCTAATATTGGATGCAACAAAGGAAACTAAATAATATTAATTTCTTCAAAGAAATCAATTCTACAACGGTTTTCAATACTATTTTCAGCTGTTTGGACAAAAATTTGCACGCACAATGACACACTGCATGAGCGTTTATTTGAAAATCAAACTGGTTGTTAATTACTATGGATTTATTTGATTATATTCAAAAATGCTGCTTGATACTTATAAAGTTATTAATTGGGTTTGTTATTGACGTTATATACCACAACAACTTCGTTGAAAATTGAGCAAAATACATAGCTGTAATACCTATGCTCGCTCATACATTTTGACATGCATTAATTAAATTTTTATGTTCCCGTTAAATATGCAATCAACACTCGAGTAGCTGAATGAATGCAAGTTGCCAAGTGTCAATAGTGGTTGGCAAATATGTGGGGTTCATATTCATTTCAGAACGTGTTTGAATTTGAACACACTTCCATATCCAACAATAACAATTTTACGAACACACGGACGCACGTAACGCACATATACATGCACACATACATACATACATACATACATACATACATACATATATACATACATACATACATACATACATACATACATACATACATACATACATACATACATACATACATACATACATACGATATGTAAACTTGACAAGTAAAGAATGCGGTTTGGCCGCGGCCAGGGCAGCGGACGAGAAAATGAAAAAATATAGGAACGCCCTCCCCTCGATGGAATTCTTGCCAATATGTATCGAGGTTCTCGGCCCGATGGACCTCAATACCCTTAAATTTCTTAAGGCAATATGTAAAATGATCAGCGTCAGATCAGGCGACAGCAGGGAACTGTTTTTCGCAACTAACCACATTTCGTGCTTGTTGCAGCGGTTCCTGCGCGTCTGTGTGCTTGAAAATATCCAACTGAATGCCGACATGTGCAATTAACGACAAATCAAAGTGTTAATCCATTTGTTACTTGATGTTTGACGGTTCAGTGTCACTCATCATGTTTTGGTTTTAACATACATACATACATACATACATACATACATACATACATACATACATACATACATACATACATACATACATACATACATACATACATACATACATACATACATACATACATACATACATACATACATACATACATACATACGTACGTACGTACGTACGTACGAGGACTACATACATACTACATACATACGTCGCAGGACTAATCAAACCAATTACGTTATTAAACGGTTGGCCGAATTCAGTTCGACCGAGGTCGAGATTATTGTGGCAAGCTTCAACACTGACCACAACACCAAACCGCGTAAGCACAATCCAAATAGTTGGATTAGTGCAGTAACCACTCGGATTGAACAGGGCAGTCTCTCGGCGGCCGTCAGACTTGCTTGTTCGCCCGCAGGCCTGGCGGAGAGCTCGCCTGAGACACTCGCTAAACTCAAAGCTATTCATCCTAGTGCTCCATTGAACAGGCGAGCTTTCCCCGCGCAGGAGCCGTCCAATGGTCGCGTTTCACCAGCCCAGGTGTTGACGGCTTTAAAATCGTTTAATAATGGTTCATCGGGAGGCCTTGATGGCTTGAGGCCTCAGCACATAAAGGATTTACTTTCCGGTCCGACGCCCACCGATGAATTGTTAAATAACCTCACCCGGTTTGTAAATTTGTTGTTATCTGGGGTCTGCCCTCCCGCGGTTAGCCGTTTCTTTTTTGGGGGCCGTCTGGTGGCTTTAAACAAAAAAGATGGAGGGATCAGACCCATCGCGGTGGGGAATTTCTGTAGGAGGCTGGCCAGTAAGTGCGCTCTGGCGCTAGTGTTGGAACAGGTCAAAGCCAAACTCTATCCTATCCAATTGGGCGTCGGTGTGAAAGGTGGTGCTGAGGCGGCCGTCCACGCCGTACGTGAACTGATTTCAGCACTTCCAAAACGGTGGGGATTCTTGAAGATTGATTTCAAGAACGCTTTCAACACCCTGAGAAGAGACTCAATGTTAGAGGCAGTTAAGCAGCACTGTCCTCAAATTTATAATTTTTGTTTTTCCGCATATGGCCGAGTCTCTTCTCTTGGTTACGACGCCTGGGTGGTTGAATCGTGCAAGGGCGTACAGCAAGGCGACCCTTTGGGACCGATGCTTTTTGCTCTAACCCTTCACCCGCAGTTGACGATGTCAGCTTGGCCGCAGAGGGTAACATCTTAGCGGACGACTTCCTGTCGCTGAGGGTCGGCGCTTCTATCATTGGTCTTGAATTAAACACAAACAAGTGTGAACTACTTGTAAATGACACGTTTCAAACGCCACACGTGCTGGCTAATGTCCCCACAGTGCCCCATTCATCATTAAATTTTTTAGGCACTCCAATGATGGCCGGCGATCATCAGGACAGGTTTTTTAATAAAAAACTTTTTGAGCTAAGATTTGCCCTCGAACGTGTCTCTCTTTTCCCGGTCCACGACGCGCTGACAATTTCCGCGGCGCCCTCAGTTTGCCAAAATTGATGTATTTTTTGCGCACATCCAACTTTGTTAATGCGGCCATTTTGGGCGAATTTGAGGGTGCTCTGCGGGTGGCCCTCTCAACAATTTGTAACGTCGATATTACCGACAAGGGTTGGTCTCAGGCTCAGCTGCCGGTACGATTTGGGGGACTGGGGTTACTAAGCGTGGTTCAGCTTGCACCAATTGTTTATAAATCTTCCGCATCTGCCACGCCTGACCTACAGTCTGCCCTTCTTCGGCAATTTAGCAGCCTACACTGTACTCCACCGACTCCAATCCAACCAACAGACCTTTCCCAGGGCAACATTTTGGAGGAAGCATATAAACGCACATTCAAAGAGTTGCTTTCCTCAAGCCCTGACTCGGCGACCTCAGCTCGCTTGCTGGCAGTATCCAGCGAGGCGAGTTGTGGCTGGCTGAGATCTTTGCCCAATACGTCGGTGGGTACCAGATTGGACGACGAAACGGTCAGGACAGCCATTGGCTTCCGTCTGGGGTTGGCCGTTCAGAGTTGATATACATGAAGGTGCGGCGCGGAGGCGGATGAACTTGGCCATCATGGTCTTGTTTGTCGTTTGGGCGGAGGTCACCAGCAGCGACATTCAGCCATAAACGATTTTGTGTGCCGACTTTTCTCCAAGTCCTCAATTCCGGTTTTAAAGGAACCGTCGGGCATTGCGGCGCACGACGGTAAACGCCCTGACGGGTGTACCTTGATCCCTTGGAGAGCCGGCAGGTGCTTAGCGTGGGACGTTACCATTCTGGGCACCTTTGCTGAGCGCTACGTGCAGCTTACTAGCAAAGAAAGCGGTTTGGCTGCAACCAGGGCATCTGACGAGAAGATCAAAAAGTACGACGGAGCTCTCCTCTCGATGGAGTTTTTACCGATTTGTATCGAGGTCCTCGGCCCCATGGACCGTAACACCTCCGGGTTTTTCAATCGAATTTGCAAAAATATCAGTATTAGGTCAGGCGATAGTAGGGATTATTTTTTTGCTATGAATAATATCTCGTGCATCCTGCAGCGGTTTTTGCGCGTCTGTGTGTTGGAAAATGTGGAGTTGATG